CACTATCGAATTTTACTTTACTGGATGTGGTATTAAATATTATAAAGGAAGATGAAGATGAAGATGAATAACATCATTTGTTTGAATATTATTTTAAGTGATCACAAACTTTCTTGCCAAAACATGAATCTGATGGTGACAATAACAACAAACACAAAAGAGTTATAATACCCTAATACATAACTTAANATCATACATATTCAAACAGATGATGATATTTTGTGGAGAAGCCTTACAGTGAAGTTGACTCTATTAAACTCATCAGCATCAATCTTANAGTGGAAACATACTTCATCGTCGTCGGTTCTGCAAGAGGTATCAATTGTTTTGGAGTCATCTTTTGGGCAGGCAAAAGCAAGAAGAAAATGAAATTTTGATCTCAGGCTGGATAAAAAGAACCTCAAAAAAAAAGTATAGAGATTGTTTGACAGAAGCATCAGGAGCATCAGAGGCTGGAGAAAATGAAATTTTGATCTCATGCTTCAGAGGTCGCCATGCTCTAGAGTTCGTATACTCTAGGTCTCGATCTTTGTTCTAATCATCGAAGGAAGTATGATGTTTCTCTCCTCCATGCCGTTGAATTTGGATCTTCCTCAATCTTCTGCTTCCATTTCTTCAGTTCCATCATCACCGGCCATTGGTTGAAGTTCTCCGATAAGGTGAAGAGTTGCCGTGAATAAAGTTTTTGATATTAAGTGATTTGGACTCTTATGATTTGGCCTCTTTGATAATGGGTTATGGCCCAAATTTTTTTGAGAGTAGAAGAAGGGGTAAGAAAATATTCGAATGGCCCAAACATTTTTAACTTGCCAGGTGTCAATTTTGGCGTGATGACGTGGCAGAAGAAGGAAAGAGCCATCAAGCTTTTTTTATATAGTAGATAGATTAACCAATTAAAAAAAATATTAAAACAAAAGTTAATTAAAAAAAAGAAAAAATCAATCTAACATTTAATCATGTCTTGTGTTATTTCACCAAATTAATAGCTTATATATAAATTCATACATAAACTAAATCATTTGAGGAGCTTTCGGGCTGATTGTAGAGAGATCAAGTCGGTGGATGAAAGGCAAGCTAGATCGGTTGAGGAGCTTTTGGGCTGATCGTGAAAGAGATCAAGTCCGTGGTGAAATGAAAACTGCGAATTAGAGACTTAACACTTCGGAGCTCAGTGTATTAAATTCCTTGTTCTCTGAGGTAATCAATGTCCACTTCTCTTAATGTAGCACCTTTTTTATAGGTAAATGTCGGCTAAAAACTAAAGTATACTATAATTTATTTTAAACTACAGTTCTCAATATTAATTGATATCTGATTTTTTTCTTTCACGGAGCTAAACAAAGTGGGTCGTATAGGTTTGATGGACTGAAATTTATTTGGACTGGGCGCATTATTGAGGCACGAAGCACATCTCTAACAATGTGCCTCAAATATAGAAGGGTCCTAGGCTCTTGTTTCTTTAATTTGTTTGAAAGATCGTTTTTTAACTCTAAAGAATGAAGTTAATTTGAATTTTAACATAAAGAGACAATGGAAACAGAAAAGGGTATATACTTAAAAGCCCAAAACGAGTTCAATGTGAGTTTTTTAACAAAAAAAATGTTCTAGTTGACGTTGAGACATGAAGAATAGCAAATAATAAGAACATGGGCTGTTTACTGAAAAAGAATAATGCAATGAAAAAGAATAATGCTTCCACGACCACTTGTGTATCTTTTGTTCACTTTCTCTTTTTATAGCATATAATTATGATATGTATAATGGGCAATGAGTCCTCTCCACAGATACGTTCCGATTCCAATTATAATAATTAATAATGATTCGACCATATGAATAATATGAAATCCTGATTTGTTTTACATAAACAGGGAACCTTCTGAGTCCTCATGGTGTAGAAGATTATTGTATATATTGGTAATTCAATAGGATTTACAACTTCATCAAATCTGATTCTTTTATCTCAGTATTTTTCTCATCAAATCTGCAAATCTAAAAGATATTGCAGTTAAGGTCATTTTGGTGTATAACCAAACAAAAAAAGTTAATTAAAAAGTAAGTAAAATGGGTGTATGTGGCAAAATCATGACCATTGGATGTAGAGTTTTCGGTTAGATTTTAGATTATAATTTTTTTGTGTTATTTTTGCCAATTTCCTTTGCAGTTAATAGGAGTTATATTTTTTTTTACCAAAATTTTGTCATTTTAATTTATTTGAATATACAAATTTGATACCAGCCGGTATAAATTGATTGAATACGACTTTTCTATTCATATAAGGAATATCAAAATTAGTCTAAATTTTGATTTATAGATCATAATTTCCTATAATAATTTTATGACATAATTCACGAGCGGAGCTAAATGCAACAAGTTGGGGGCAATTGCACCCACTCAAAATTTTGTAGCCAATATATTTTTCTTAAGATCCAAATTATTGCCCCCATGTCAAAAACATTTTTTTATCCCCATCGATTTTTTAATCTCAAGTTATTGACTAAAAAGTCAATTTAATGGGTTCATTTCTATAAAATCCATCGATTTGGATTTATTTCCATGGAAATCTAAAGGCATTTAAACTTAATAAATTGATTTTCTAATGTAAGAGTCTCATTTTTTTATTAGTTTTATCTAAATCTTCAATTTACTCATTTTTACAATTTAACAGTTTTCATATGTAAATGTTTTATGATATTATTAGATTCATTATATATGTACTATTTTCAAAATTACAATTTATTTTCTAATTTGTTTTCTTAACTTGAGTTATTC